CTCTGGATGTGACCATCTAACCAATTCCTCACTCACCGGACAGTCCACCCATCAAATCCATCCCTCTCCAGTTGAGAGAGAAGGATGTTGTGGGGGACCGTGTCAAAGGCCTTACAGGGGTCCAGATAGGCGACATCTGTAGCCCTTCCCATGTCCACTGATGTAGTCACTCCATCGTAGAAGGCCACTAGGCTGGTCAGGCAGGACTTGCCCTTGGTGAAGCCATGCTGGCTGCCTCGAATCACCTCCCTGTCCTCCATGTGCCTTAGCAGAGCTTCCAGGAGGATCTCTTCCATGACCTTCCCAGGCACAGAGGTGAGGCTACATTATATTACAGTGCCACATGCAACAGCAAAGGACTGGACTGCTGACCCAAGAGGTCTCTTCCAAATAACTGTGCATTTTGTTCCTGCTGCTCTAAAATGAAGCTACTCACCTGCGAAAACCAACCAATCTCTCTGCCTCCTAGCTTAGCCCAGACAGACGAGGGCTGCTCTCCTACACATAGAGGAAATCCCACCACTACAGTATCCTCTCCCCATACAACTAAGTAGCTAATAGAGAGATTTTAACTGTGGCAGTTATATGCATACAGATAAAATTCAGTTGTAATTTGGATACTGTAATAGTGTATGCACCTGCTTCATTGTGATCGCAACTTTTGCACAGTATATCTAGTTGCCCTGGTGTCCAAAATGTAAAAAGGCTCAACTGATTTTAAAAAAATAATAATAATAAATTATATTCATATAAATATATATTTAAAAATAAAGATAAATTTTAAAAAAGCCAGTGACTCTTGGGCCTTTTAGGCCTCCAAAGCAAGTATTTACCTAGAGTGCTCATAAGCAGTAATGACAGTCAATAAACTGTGTTTTCAATAAAAAGGTAGAAACAGAGCTAGCATTATATAATTAATACTGTAAAAGTGACTGTCTTCCAACTTTGACTTAAGGCAATAATGCCTTTACTAAAAAAGCAAAGAACAAAACCCCACAAAAATAAAAGACAAAAACCTCATCCTCATCAGATATATTTATCTGTGTGTGCATTTGGGATGGGAGAGAGGAACAAGCTGCAAGTGATTAGGGAGGAAAAAAACCAATGCTTTTTCACTCATTTTCTAGTTAAGTTATGAAGAACATAACCATCACTCAAGGCAAACTGCAAAAATATTCTTCCTTTAATCCCTAACAGAAAATATATGATTTGTCAATCCATAAAACTTTATAGTAACAATATTTTATTGAGAAAACTTCTTAATTTGAAAAATTGTAATTAATTAAAAACAGTTTGACTGTACTACTATAGTCAGTACTCAAAAAAAAAATGGTAACATGTATGTACCTACCATTATAGGTCAAGATGCAGTTATATCTTGAGGGGAAGAAAAATAATTTAATCTTTTTCTTGTAATTAGTAGGTAAGTGTACTCATGTCTAAGTGAAAGTAGTACTTTATAAAGACATGTCTTCCTTTGTAGTTGAGACATCAGTATTTTTGTTTGGTTATGGGATTTTGTTTTGGTTTTTGTTGTTTGGTTTGTGTTTTTTTGTTTTTTTTTGTTGCTGTTGTGTTTTGTTTTTTTTTTAAGTGCCTTAAGGAAAAAGAAAAACTCACTTGGATTAACACATAAAAACAATACCAATGAAACAGCAAATTCTTAGAATAAAAGGCAAAGGCTGGAAATATTAAGACATGCCTCTGTTTTAAATATCTGGGGGAAACCAAGGCATCAATCTTCTACATCGGTAATACCCGATTATTTTACCTATCTGCACCTAAACTGTAAAAGAAAATACTTTCATATCTAAATCTATACAAGAACGAACACCCACACTGCAACCTCCAAGGCTGCTCTATGCCTGAATTCCTTTCTGAAGAATTATTTGGCTTATTTCTTAATGTAACAAAGAGAGACAGATAGCCTCAAATGAACTCTCAGAATTAGGAAAGACCAAAATAAGAAAAGGAAGAATCAGCAAAATGCTATTTTCTGTTGTGATAGTAACTGGGGGCCACAGTTGTCATTCAATGCCATAATGTGGAAAAGATTCAGATGACACACACAAAAAGCTTCTTATCCACAGAGAAAGACTTGCATGTTTCTTCTTCTTCTTCAACCTGAATTCTTCGAAAGACTTGCATGTTTCTTCTTCTTCTTCTTCAACCTGAATTCTATAATAGATCATTCCAGCAACCAGGGACAGCAATGGTGTACACACACACACAAAGCAAGGCAGGGGAAAAAAAAACAAAACAAAACAAAAAAAAACCCAAACAACACAAAACAAACACACAAACCCCAAAAAAATCTTACAGAAGCCAAAGATATTGTTTCCATTTACCATGTAATTTTACATTAAGAGAAATAAACCCACGTAAGATTCACCCCCTCTTGCAAGGAAAACAAAATTCAAGTTCCAATTAAAAGAGCAATATGTATTTACATATATGATAATTGTTAAGTATACCTGGCCAAATCCATACAGCTATCAGTCAAACTCGTTGAAGAATTGAAATATTCTCTGCCAGCAGCCAAAACTAGTTCGATACTTTTCGCATAGCTGACTCGGTACTGTGGCTTCCCTTTTGATGAACTTGGTAGATCCACTGACCAAATACTGCAATGCATCATTTGCCCAGCCAAGTGGATATTGTCTATACTGCTTGAGCATAAAAGACTTTCTGTAAATATCTAAAAGAAAGAACAATAATTTAATAATCTGCAGCAGCAGCTTCAAGTAAGCTTATCTGCATTGTATGGAACCAACCCCTTTGAATAAAAGGATCTTTGAAGTCAAAAGAATATTATTCAGTCTGAGCAGAAAATGTAACTTCTACCAAGGAGAGTATTTCCACAATTTATTTAAGTAAAGCTAAAATTAACTAGTAGCTAGTTGTTTCTACTTCCTGAAGAAGAAAGCTTAACTGCCTTTTTACAGTACGACTTAGAGATGAGAAATTATTTATACTTACATTCTGAGGTGTTAATAGGATGTAAGAATCAGAAAAGGCAGTTTAGTATTAAAACCAACAACATATGAGAAGAAATTTTGTATCCTTGAAGAAACTAAAAATATTTAGAACTGAGCATATAAGATGTTTTTTAAGTTTCAGTCAGGACTATCTTCAAAGAATGCATACTAATATAATACTGCATCTGCCACAAAACACTGAACTTATTTTCAGGTCAAAGTTTGGCCTACTTTAAGACACTCAAAATAATCTCAATTCCTTAGAAAAATTTTTTTTTTTTAATTTTTTTTTAAACACAGTCAGTGTTGTCCTAATGAAGAGCAACATATGCGTTTAACCATTTCAGAAAATATCGCAGCTGCAACAATGTGGCCTTTATCAAAAGTTTTAAATTTTGTAACAAATTAAATAGACTCAATGAATCACAGAAGAGCCCAGGTTGGAAGGGACCCCAAAAGACCATCTGGCCCGATCTTTCGTGAGAAAGGGGGCATAGATGAGATTATCTAGCACCCTGTGCAATCGCGTCTTGAAATTAAAGTATTTTTTCACTAGGAAGAACCTCTCCAAACCAGCTCATGCTCTGGAAAGGAACACAGTTCAGCACTTCTTAAAAAACGTCATGCAATTGGATCATCTTCCATTTCACAACATATTAATCCTCAAGGAACAGTGAAAGATGCAAAGCATAATAGCTGACCCTTCTTCCTTAAAGATCACATACATACAATTTACCTCTCTCAAAATATATGGACATGAAGTCCTTCAAGAGGACAGGATTCACTTTGCATGCAAGCACAATAGAATAAGCATCATGCTAAAAAAGATCCCAATACAAACCTCACATGTGATTGCAAATCCTTACTGCCTCATCAATTTCTCAATTTTGAAGTTACCAAAGTATAATTGCATACGACAGTACTACATTTGAAAGCATTTTCAGCATTCATAGATTATGTTTCCAAAACCCTCTGTTGTATTTTTTTAATCATATGGTACAGAGGTTAAAAAATAATTTAATATTAATAAAAAACTTATATTAAGAACAGAGCAAAGCAAATGCTATTATTTTCAGAGTTCTCTAGTACTATAATTTTTTTAAATGCACTTAAAAAGAATTTCAAGTACACTAAGCCTTAGCCTATCACAAAACCATGAACATTAAATACATTGCAGTTCTCTTCGAGCAACTTCAAATTGTACAACTACAGAGAAAGAGTGACTTTTTTTATGTATAGGTTGAATAGTATTGCTTTTTCCGTTCAATTTTTTTTTTCCAATTTGCTTTCAAAACGTCTCCCAAGAGCTAATCAGATTGGTAATCATAAGCAATTAAATCTGCAAAATGTAATAAAACCCTCTTAAACTTTTAAAAGATGTGACTATTTAAGCACCTGCTAAAGTGGACACGGCACTGTTTCTGTAATAAACTGCAATATATTGAAGTCAAAATGTAGATAAACAATACATGTCTCAGCAAATTCTACATCAGTCTAATAGCTGTCCTTAGCAAATATTAATGACATAGGTTTCGTGTTTATGCACATGCGGGTTTTTTTTTTTCCTTTAATGAAATTAGATTTCTTATCTCACATTATTTTACTTCAACTGCAAGCAGTAGAAAGTCCATAATCCTATAATGATCTTGGATAATATTATCAAACCAGAACGTCACGTTTAAGAAACGCTTGGCTGAAGCTAACATTTAACTAAAAGATTGTTTGTTTTCATTAGTTTTAAGTGTTTATTACTAAACACATTTGTACATAGAATTACAAAGTCTCAAGAAATTGACTCAATTTAAAAAAAGTTGAATTATTACTAAACACATTTGTACATAGAATTACAAAGTCTCAAGAAATTGACTCAATTTAAAAAAAGTTGAATTATTACTAAACACATTTGTACATAGAATTACAAAGTCTCAAGAAATTGACTCAATTTAAAAAAAGTTGAATTCTAGTAAAAGATATACAGGATATTTATTAGAGGGGCTTCTGATGAAATGAATTAACACAGGAAGTTTCTGATTTGAATGAAAATACCAAAAAAGAGCCAGTGGACAACAAAGTAACATAACACATGACAATGTATTTATGTTTGTGAGCAACAATACAAAACAAGAATTTGTAGCTTACTTGGGACATAAATCAGTAAGAAAACATAAAACTCACCTCATAGCAAGTATCTGAATGTAAGCATGTATATACTTTCTGCTGCATGTCTAACATATCCTGGAGCAATTCCTTCCAGTGTGCCTCACTGACTGATGGTTGCCTACAAACATTTGTAAAATTAAATATTCTCTTCCTCAACAAATTTAAAGAAAAGCAGTAGATAACATTGCAGTGCCATCACCAAAAATATGAGTTTTCTCAAACATTATTTCAGTCTTTAATTGGACTTTTAACCAAAAGTGATTTAAAGACAGAATGCTTTTGATGTTAATTAACATTAAAACAGTGTCTGTGGGAAAAACTGTTTGACAACAACAATGTAGTACCCAAAGTGTTTTTTCTGCCTGTCTTCTGTGGTATAAGATAGGGATTCAAGCAATCTTTATCAAGATCCCCCAAGTAGGTTTTGATAACTTCCAATAGTACATCAGAAAGTTGGAAGTGCTATCTTACTGCTGATCCAAGAACAGCTGGGTAAAAACAAGTTTGTAACAGCAACTGAAGATCATTAAGATGCTGTTCATTGTAGGCAATCTCAGAGGACTAATCAATTCCCTGAAGTCACAGGCGAATAGAGCTGCAAGTTTATTTTGTTCCTTAAACTGGAATGGTATTCAGATTCTTGACCCTCTGGATCCACGAATCTCTGTTTACCCACAAAGCTTCCTACACAACTTCACGTGCTCTATTGAAAGTTTTACTAGTAAAAACACTATGAAGGTTTTTTGACATTATATTGAGCCTTTCAGATTAAAAATGACTTTTTTAAGCTACACAAGCTACTCCAGCTAATAGTGATTTTCTCATGTGGCATTAGCTTTCATTTTGGCAAAGAAAAGGGTCTCTACAAAAAGTGGAAAATCAACATTTTTCCTACAGAGGCATTGACTTCATCTTTTTAAAGAAAGGTTTTTAGAACTCAAAAAGCTTTCAGCTTGTCCAAGCTAAATACTGCCCTACCATCACCGATAAACTGTTGTGCGTGTTTACTTTAAATTAAAAAAAAAAAAAAAAACAAGAACAACCCACAGTGATGGCTGTTTGTCCCAAGGTTCAATCTTTTCATCTGCTTATGCCAAGGGCCATGTAATAATTCATCTACAGTTGGAAGACAAGTTAAATGAAGTAGTTCTTAAGCAGAAAAATTGAAAAAAATATACTGGAAGAAGTAGAATCAATACATAAAATCAATAAATTACCCTATTACAAGAGCTCCTAAGAAAACATGCCAAAAAAAAAAAGAAAGCATTATTTTACAAATCCTACACTCTCAATAAAATTAAATAGCTCTTAAAGGACCTAATTTGCAATATGTTAACTTTTACCGTTCATCATCTTGCAGTATTTTGCAGCCAGTATGCCTTTTAGGCTTGTTTACTTGAACACAAACATATTGAAACAACTCTGAAGGAAGACAGAGTTTTTTGAATGCAGAGAATGCAGCCAAAACACTCATCATGTTAACCATCAGTTTAGCAAATGTGTTTTACGTACACCTGTTCTGTTTGAACACTACGGTTCCCTACTGCAACAAAACAGGCAGGTACGCTCTCTGACAATAAGTACTTGTTACCTTACTGTCCTTTCCCTCTTATCTCCCATTCCCCTTTGAATACTAACTTGCGACCTGTGTGCCTCGTCAGTCTAATCATCAGCTTCCGTGCCTCCTCCGCATTGTCCTTTGTGTCTTTCACAAAGGAAACAGGTTTCTGAAGTCCATGTTTCTCCAACAGTTCTGACACACTGTAAATGAATAGTCAAAATTTTTATTTCTGCACAGTTGTACAACTACCTCTGCTGCAGCAGTCTTAAATAAAGCTGTCTCAGACAATGTACTGCAAATGCAAACAGTCTCCATAAAGTCTGTAACAGTTTAGATTAGCCAAAATAACATTATTTACTCAAAAAAAATTAATACGGTAGGGTAAATGCATATTAGCAATAACCTGATGACCTATCTTCACAACTTCTAATTTTTGATCACTCAAAGCACTACAGAGTATCAAGATCAAAACAAATTCCCCAAATATTTCAGAAGTAACCTTCCTCCCCCTCCAAAAAAAGACTTTTATTCCAAGGAAAATATCTGTGCAGTTTTATAATATTCAAATAGCTAAAGTTCCCAATACAAAAAACTTAGAGATTATCTTGTCAATGGCACTAAAAACAAGATAAATATTCTTGCTGCTTTCTTGTCAGAAAAAAGTTCTTGGCTATGCCTAGTGACTTCTGTAAGAACACATTACTTATTTTAGCAAAATTAAATACCTAAGAATTTGTTCCAGTTCATCTACTTCATCGTGAATAGTGTTAGTTTTATCTGTTTCAGGCCTGCAAAGATATTATACAATTAATATTAAATATATATATCTCCATACTTGTGTAATTTCTTTATATAATTCATATTACATAGATATAAAGATAAGCAGTTTGAAACATTCCTTGATGAAAATCAAATATATGTTTGCTTGAAAAGATTAAAACTGTTGGCTTCTTGCTAGAAGGATAGCTAAAATTGAGAGGGTCTCTCAATCTCCCAAGAACAGAGCTTTTCCTTCTTTCCTGCACTTTTCTCAGGTTCTCTCCTTCCTACATGTAAAAGGTATTGGGACAATAGTTTACATCTCCTCCTCATGCTTTCACTTTCTCAAGAATTACTTGTCCTTCATATAGGTCTTCCATATAGAGACCTCTCTCACGTGGCCATATTGGTGCTTATAAGCTAAGTGCGAGACGCCACTAACTGTAACAAGACCGACAAGACCAGTAAGATAGCACTAACACTTGGTCTCAGTTCACCAGGATATAAAAGTCTAAGAAACTAACACAGAAACCTCGGTCTAGGCTGCTACTTTAAATCATGTTTTGTTGCATTATTTGGTAGAGTATATATACAGCACAAGTGTACGTATGACCACGGCAACTCAGATACGAACAGAATATTCCAGTAACATTACCTACTCTTTAATGACTTAACTATTTTTAAAGCATTAATTCACAACTATTTAACATATCTAAAATATTTACAAATAACTAACTGAAAATGTTTACCCATATCCTCTTTGTGGAAGGCATTCCAAAATATCGTAACAGAGAGCGAGCTGGTCATCTCGTTCACAACTATAAATACATTCCAATGCCGTAATCATAAGCTGGTCTTGATCAGGAATAATTTTTTGCTGACACTAAAAAGAGAAGAAAGCACATTATTTTTAGTTTTCTGTTTCTAATTCAACAGTTAAGTTTCTTCTGAATATAAAAAGATGTGTACTCCAAGTAAATAAATTGTCTTTAGTTGTAATTAGAAGGTCTCTTGCTAACAACTTAGTTAAGTACCTGTTGAAGTTACAACCTGAAACATAACTCTGCTAGTTTCCTACACTGCAGACACTGGAAAGAACAGTGATACACCATTATACCCTTTTTGAATTTGAGAGGTGGAGACGGTGCAGGGCAGAGGAAGGCAACTGCTGCAAACATTTGTCACATTTTTTTAATATGTACAACAGTATCAACATATATAAAATAGCCGTGTTTTTCCTTCAGTGGTTAATTTCTGTCCATACACTTAGAATATTCAATAATATGCAAAAATGTGCTTATGTGCCCTGGAATAATTAATTAAACTGTAGAAGCAGCATGAAATACTCACATTGAAGGTAATTTCACCCCTTACTCATTGAGCTCTTGGTTCCATCCTAATGGCCCCCATTTTATTCTTTACATTTGTTGCGGGGGGGGAAGAAATAACTTGAAATCTACTGCTAGTAAATTCCTCAGGAAAAAAATATTAGTGAGATCAAACTCTTTCATAGCCATTTTTTAAAAAGCAAGTATGCCAGGAATTTACTTTAAACACATCACCATAAAATTACTTCAAAGAAGAGTCTTTACAATAATTTTTGTTCTACTAGGTCAAGATCATAGTTACATTTGTTTAACAATCTCATCAAGGACAGTTTAGTTGCATCATAACTTATGCTACAATACTTGTTGATTAATGTTTTCTAAAACATAACAAATCCTGGGCCCAAGAAGAAGGCAAAGATCAGAGAGACGATCTGATTTAGAAGATGAACTAACCCTGTTTATGAATTCACCTCTTCAGGACAAGAATTTCCAAAGAAACAGTAGAATCATCAGAGCTCTATACTTACAGCAGGTTTTGAATTCTGAAATATCTTCAGAGGTAGAGTCAGGTCTTCCTTTGCTAATGTTACTAAATAATCTTTAAAAAGGGAATTTGCAAGACCAGGGGACTGATTTTCACAGCGGTGGAGAAAAGGGATCATCCACTGATAAACATTCTTCACGTATTTTTCATCACAGGACTGGAAAGTGCAATGAGTTAGAGAGAGGAAAAAAAGAACAAAGTTCAGCTTCATTGTCCAAAACAAACAAGAAAACCAAGAAACAAACAGAACATATTTTGATCAATATAACTGAAACAGTATCTTCACCTATCTCAAACAACAGGTGAAGCCTGACAGCCACCACTGCTGCACAGATGGCTACATCATGAAGCACTGAAACAATCCATCATCTTTTTGCTACCCGATGGCTTGGAGAAACCAAGCAGTACAGGAGTAAAGCCCATTACACGAGGAAAGCCTAGCTGTCTTCCTCCTGCAGTTTCGGAATGAGTGAAAGATCAGCTTGCATTCATGTCAGAGTAGCATTACTTTCAGTAGGCAAGAATGCAAGAGAAAAACAAATGATTAGTGGTTACATAAATCCTAGCAAGATTTGGAAAATCCTGAGGACCTTCAAGTGCATGAGTATTCTCCTCTGGTGCTTACATATCCTTTGACTGAATTTCAGAGCCCCGTTCAATCTCTAGGTATTTTTCAACCTTTCCAAAAGGTCTTTTTCTATTCTGAAATGTCATGCACAGGCTGAACACAGAGAAGATGAAAAACACACATATGCTGCAGAGGCAAATATTAAGATTTTTTGCCAATATTTAAAGACACCAAAAAACATCCAAGGAAAACGTTCACTGTTGTTGTATCTGCAGCATCATCAACAGCCACACTGAAGATCCTTTAGAAAGGGCCAATGAGAAAGCAATTCACAGCTTTTACAAGACTGGATTTATTAACGTTTACTCCTGTGCCTAGGACAAAGAACAGGTCTGAGAAAACGGAGCCATTTTAGCATTTGTTAAAAACAAATAAAGACAGAAAAAAACCCACCACAACAAAAAAAGGAACAGAAGAAGTGTTGCATTCTTGTTGAATTAAAGATGGAGGTTCATCAGAAAAATGTCAGCCACTAACAGTATCTTTATATACATAGGATCTAGGGTAACCTAAATTACTGGAAATCAAGGTGTGCTTACTGATTTATTCAAAATACTTACTTTGTTCATCAACAGCCTCAGCTTTTCAATGTCCTTCATCTCTACAAGTTCCTTCAAAGTTAAGGTTCGATCACCATCAGTCTCATAAACTATTGTCTCAAGAGTGATCAGATTGTCACAAAGCACCTGCAGACCAGGAATATTCCTCTCCATGCCAAGACGAACAAGGGACAGAGCACAGTCCACCTGAAAAATAATAAAAAACCCCTCCTGTACAACTGTTTGCCAAAAAACAACTTCAAGACCACTCTGTGTCCTGCCTGTGTCCTGTTTGTGTGTCTTTTTTTCCTTGTTCTTTTTGCTTAGTAGGCAATTCTAAGTTTTTGTGGACTGTATATTCCTAAATGGATTGCTCTTCTCAGCTTTATAAAGACCAAATAAAATGTTTAGTCTTAGTGGATGATGCCATTATAGGCTTCTGACCCAGATGCATCCTATTGATGCATGTAAATTAGGAGAATACTATTCCTTCTGGAGATCACACACAGAGATACATCACCTCATCTGACTGTATGGAATATGAAGCATTGCTTTAAACTAAGATAATCAGTTAACTGACTGAAGTTATGCATACCTCTGCATGTACATGACTTTTCTAGCTGACCATGAATTAATAATTTTAATTGTTGCATTTTATTTCAGAGAAGAAAGTGACAGTCTTTTTCCCTGGTGACTGAAAATACCTTTATATGAAAGATTTTGTTTCGATTTCAAAGAATGCAATATTGGCTGTACATATTCAGTGAGGCAGACATAAGTCTGGAAGAGTAGAATGCAATTTCATTTATATGTTAGTAATTTAATTGATCCTTGGAAGCTGCTTTTATTTCCATACCTACTGATAGGCTGTTAAGATCACAGGGAACTATGATTAAAGAGCCTTGGAGGACTGCAAACTTGAAGAATAAAAGCACTCACCCATCAGAACTAACTCATAGTGATACTTCCAACCAATCTCCTTTTCATGCAGCTAAATTGGCTTGAGAAGCAATAAAATACTAGAGCACGTCAGTGATGAGCTCTATTCTTACTTGCAATGCTTATCTTTACCATATAGAGCTTCAAACATTTTTAAAATATGAAGAAAATAAAGCAAAAATAAACTGCATGGTAGTCCCACAGACACACAATAAACCTGCCAGGAAGAAATCATTGACAGTACTACATATTGGCATGAGTGACACACGACTGCCACATATCAATATATATGGCACAGTATCATGTGACAGATAATAAAACACGTTTCCTGATACTCTGTGCACAACATTCCCTCCCTCAGTTACAAACATAAAATGTAATGGGGTAAATATTTTTCATGGACTACGAAAGTGCTACTGTCTGCTACGGTAAGCCAAGTGAAAGTGAATCTACTGGCTTCCTATTCATTCCTATGGATCAATTATTTGGCTGAGTAAACTTTAGAGCAAGCATAAGTACACTGCAAAAGAAAAAAAACAAATACTTCAAAAGCCATAATGAAGATTGAGACACAGCGTATATTACTGAAGGAAAAGCGTCCCATCAATACTCATTAAGACAGGATTCTGTTGAAGAAGGCTGACCAACCCGAGTCAGCCATCATCGTTTCCTCACTGCTATTCTCACCTGCATTGCGTATTTTTCAATTTCCTGTGCTCTGCTCAAATACCAACTGGTAACGAGATCTACTGAGAGGTTAGTAGTCCTGTACTTCAGCAACTCAGGCTGCGTTTCATACAGAAATTCGCCTTCATCTTGTAAAGTTGGTTCAACAATCATCCTTTAAAAAAAGAAGTATATGTTTAAGTATACATGTGCTTGCATTTTTTTCACATCAGTCTTTTTTTCTGAAACTTCTGGTTGTTCTGAAAGAAAGTGATATAATCAACCTACCATTACACCAATAATTTGATGAGACTCAAATGCCAATCACAATAAGTGTTAATTTTTGTCAGCAAAGTAACTACTAAGATATTCCAAACATGAGATAGATCATGAAAGAAAGAATCCTCTCTACTAAAGACACAGGTATGCCCAACCTCTGCTTTCCATCTGTTCCTCACACAGTGAAAGGCAGTTTTGTGATGCATTAATGCTGCTATGATAATGTTATGGTTGACAAGTAACAGGGAAGGAAAAAAAAAAAATTAAAAAAAAAAATCAGGATTTCCAACAGTAACCTCCCCCCAAATGTTCACATCCATTTGTAAAAGTTACTCATCACATAATCACACTGAACATAATGCTGTAACATGAAAGAGTGTTTGCTCAGTCAGTCTCACTAAGAAAACTGAAAACACAAGTTAGTGTGCACAAAAATAAGAAGTGAGTCTTACTGGGTATTTCCCACATTTTAAGAATTAGTAAGTAAATTCTTTATCTGAAATGTACATAAATATAGAATAAACTTTTTGCTTTTTCTATATACTTACCTGCATTCTGCTTTTTCACACCAATCTTCTTCACGATGTTTCTGCTCATTCCATGGAAGAATTTTCAATGTCCCCTGCTTGTAACTGGTATAACAGAAGAAACTTTACTCAGTGAATTCACAGTAAGCATGTAATTCAATTACAGTATCAATTCTTTAAGATTTATCACTTCTTAACGAAGCTATACAAGTGTGATTTTGCCTGTATGATATTATCTGTACAAACACATATTATACCTATACCATTAAAGACCCACTAAAAAAAATAAATTTATTTTCTTACTGACCATACCTTTTTTTAAAAAAAAAAAAAGGAAAACCTACTACATGCTTTAAGAATTTTTACTGCTTCACAGTAAGTATTCTGACTTCATATGCTGTCACAGAAGACTGAAATGAGCAAAAACCTATGATCTTCACAGCTTAAAAAAAATATAATTCTTTATATTTAGTACAAACTCTTGTACTGAACCGAAACAAGATATGCTCTGCTGTACTGATCTTCTCAATTAAGTTTAATGTAGTTTTCTCACTACAAACTTCCACAGTGAAATGTTCTCTAAATATTGAGGTTGAAGAGAAAAAAAAAAAATTGGTTTAAAATGCAGTTTAAGAACACCACAGGTTATTACTAGAATGATTACTTATGGCTCACTGTTGTAGGCTAGTTGTTTAAGCAGCGTAAAACCCGAGAAAACCAGGTCAGACTACACAGAACATAAACTAAGGGGGAAGAGAAGAGCCATATAGGTTCTGGCATTTGTAGAAATAAGAAACATGTACAAAGTAAAGACATTAAAGTTTCAGCATACTGGAGCAATAAGCTATTTTTAATCTCACTGATTTTCTCCTGACCCTGATAATAAACAGCAATACTACATGGACAACCCCCATCTATAAATTAACAACTGACACAATCTTATCACCCCTTGAAGAGCAGCACTGTAACTCAGTAGCTTAAAAAGAAACAATTCCAACAAACAAATCAATTTCACGATATAGTAAGAGTCAAAACAACAAACTAAAAATCAGTAATTCCATCTCATTTAGCAACAGCCATTAAACACATTTAACAAAGCAAGGCATGTCCATACTAACTGCCCGGCCTGTACACACACATATTTCTCCCAGGAGGTCAGCCACCCTTTCTTTCCCTCTTCTGTGCACTAACAATAACACCCTGTGTTTTATCCATAGTAATTCCAACCCTCCGAATGAAACATGCAGTAAAAATCCAGCAATAAATTGGCAGAGACACATTTGCAGGCTATAAAAGTCAAAAGAAAGGAGGGGAAAAGATTGAAAACTGCTAATCCCTGTGTGTCGGCTATAGTAACATCTGCGTTCAGTTCCAGTTCAGCTGGACAAAACGCTCCACAATTATCTTTATAATTAGGCACCATGTAGTAACATCACTGAAAAATAATTAATAAAGAACACTCCAAATTAACATTTATGGTATAAGCACCAGGAATAAAGTCACTTCCTGATTTTGGAAAGATTCATCATCAGCCCATGTACTTAGGGGACTGGGGTGGCTGTTGTTTGTTTAAGTCTTAGATAACATAATTTATCAATTAATTTTAAATATTAATGTTTAAAACTGGGTTCATAAATTAATATGGTCATATTTCAAATGTCATACATGAGTGTTATTATGGAAGGACCAGTTTGCAGTGAAAAAGTTCTCTTTATCAGTTGAAATGTCAAATAACAGAAAAGCCAAAGTGTGATTAACACTCCTTTCCAAACAGTATGAGGAGGTCTTTAGGTTACAATCAATAATGCTCTCCTTTTCCATGTTTTATTAAGTGTAAAAGAAAACTGGACAAAATTTTATTGCCCAGAACAATTTCTTTTTATAGTAAAATTTTTCCATTCACTCCCCATTAGGCTTAAGGAGACATTTCAGGGAGGATTGGTTGGTTGGTTGGTTTGGGTTTTGTTTTGTTTGGGGAGGGTCTTTTTTGGTTTTGTTAAAAAAGAAAACAAGAGCTTTTATACAGCAGAGGACAGACAAGGGCTTCATTTTAGAAGTTGTTTCAAATCATGTCTGCAAAATTGTAGCTGAACTACCATGAGAAAATAACAGTGAGAGGAGATTTTCAGGTAACAACTCCGATTTCACATTACAGATAGCTTTTTTTCCCAACATTAGCTACACACATACTAATACCTTAACCAGTGTTCTGCCTCCAAGAATTGTAATGCGAAGGTTTTGTTATTTTACTGCATTAAAAAAAAAAATCGCAGATACAGTATGGGTCTGTAAGACTTGACCACATCAAATCATTTTAACAATCTTTATTCATAAACATGAGGGGTAAAAAGAGATTCAGTCATTGGCAAGGACCAGTTGGCTCTCAAAGGAGCCTGAGGGCTTGGGCAGCTTCAGAAGTTGAAGAATCACAAAGCCAAGCTGAGAGGAGCACTCACACCACACCTTGCCCTTCCCTTAGTCTCCTTCCCATAGCTCCACTAAGAACAGCATGAATGGTACTAGGTAACCTGTAAAACAAAGTCAGCCCCTCTCTGTCAGTCTCTTTCTCACCCACTCCTTATTAAGGCAACATACTGATTGAGTCACCATCCCTGAAGGTATTTAAAAGACTTGTAGACCTGGTGCTTAGGGGCATGGTTTAGTGGTGGACTTGGTAGTGTTAGGTTTACAGTTGGACTCAATGATCTTAAAGGTCTTTTCCTAAACCTAAATGATTCTATGATTCTATAAAAAAAAAGAACACAAACTGTGCCCCTCCCCCTCTCTTCCAAACTTTGGCTTTTGCATGAGTCTCTGAAACACTTAACTGATGGGGGAGCAATAGAGGGAGGGACACATGACAAGTAAATAATTATATCAAGCTCCATTAGAAAATTGCAGCAGATACCATTTATTGCATTTACTCTGAAAGCAAATTCCTGTTCCAAGTAGTCACTTGCAGACTTTTAACGGCTCTCTCAAGTAAGAGCATCCCATCTGAATAAGTCTTCCCCTATAATCTCAGAGCCCCAGGAGAAACTTGGGAAAGTTGCTTTGGTTTGGCTGTTCTTTCACTGGTTGTTTTTGTTGTTATTGAGAGAAAGAAGTCATGCAAAATAGTAAGGAAAGACGTGCACACATTTAATATTTAAACATCAAGATTCTCCTCTTTTGGCTAACAAATTATTAAAAAGAGAAAATCACTAGAAGTAAGCAAAGACATCAGAAGTTTAGAACACAAATTTAAAGCCACTCATGCATGAATATGGGATCAGAATGACAAGGAACCAAGACATTCCAAAACTCACACACACTCTCCTAATGCTACTATCCCTCAGGATGAGACCTGAAGTTAAAAAAAAAGAAAAAAACTTAACACTACTGATCCAAGCCTGTACCGCCAAATACTACATTGAACACGTTCTTCTTAATTAAGCTGCCACATCCTGCATACTTGCCATAGACGTGGCAAAGTTACATTCTGGAATTACAGCTCCAGTTAAGAAATCGTTTCTTAACAGATTCAATAGCACAAAAGGTTTAAATTGAAGTTGGCAAAACTTGCAAATTTTCTTAACTGACCTGAACATCAGGATGAATTATATGTTTCTTCCCTCCAATTTCTTCTTAATTAAGCTGCCACATCCTGCATACTTGCCATAGACGTGGCAAAGTTACATTCTGGAATTACAGCTCCAGTTAAGAAATCGTTTCTTAACAGATTCAATAGCACAAAAGGTTTAAATTGAAGTTGGCAAAACTTGCAAATTTTCTTAACTGACCTGAACATCAGGATGAATTATATGTTTCTTCCATCAAATTATTCTTAACATAGTTGAGTCACTTTCCTGACCCTGATTAAATTGTTTAGTCTCTAATATTGTTTATCTTTATGCAAGCAAGAGTTATCCACCCAGTCTAAAATCAAAAGTTACTAGAAAACACTTCTTTTCGCAGACTGATGCAATCGCCTATCCCGCCCTTCTCCACAACTAATTTCAGAAAATAATCTGTACTTCCCTCTCCCCATCTAAAAGTAGGTATTTTCTTCCCTGTTCCTGTAACACAAAACACACCTGAGTTTGCCTTTAAATTCCAACTGCTTCAAATATTTTTTAAAAGTACTTTTTAAAATAGAATCCTTTCCAATTAACAGAAGTCATGGATTAAGTACAGACCCCATTCAAAATGACTTCTCCAACACCCCACTATGGCTTATAGTTTCAACTAAAGTTGAAAGTTTATTGCTTACAAAAAAAAAAAAAAAAAGCACTTGCTGAGAAAGATCTCACTCAGTTTGAGTTCCCAGGCTTTGCTCTCTTTGTTTGACAGTTGCTTTGCTTCCCCCTTTCCCCTCACGTCCAAAATCCATCAAGTGAGGAAGCAATGTGCAACTCTGCCTCCCTCTGCCTACCTTACTCAACAGGGTATGATAGAAAAAAGTTGGAAAATACAGAGACAAGCAATGTGAATGACCAAAGGTAGGCAGTGTGTGATCATCCCTTCTGTGAAAGCCAGAGCAGACTGAAGAATCCTAGAAGAAAACAACCAATATGCTAAGATTGATATATCCTTGTTCATTTTTTCATTTCACTTAAATAGGAAATGCCATTTCACTGTTTTTACTTCCTACAACACTGTAAGCACTGATGAAACTAGCAGGGCCTCATTTAAAATAAACAACAGCAGATACTGTTTTACACCATATGCAGCTAAGCTGTTAACTACTCACTGCATGACACAGAACATAAAACACCATGTATTTGGGTTCAAAAAAAGAAAGGATTCCTGGAAGAAAGTGTCATGAAAGTCTACTATGTCTAGAAAATACCTAGTTCAGGAATATTTGAGCCACATATTATAGACACTTGAGAAACTTCAGGTAAATGTTGCAATGTGCTTGCCTGTACCTATTTTTTTTCCCCCTTCGCAACTGCTGTCGGCCATTTGCCTTCTGGCCAAAGCTACCAAGACCAATCTCATGTTTCAGCACAAGATTTTGCAGGAATGAAACCTACAGTTGTCCAGACACATCAATTGAAGAAGTACTATAAGTATACTTCAAAAGTTTTTCATAAAAACTTATTAACAGACCTCACCATGAA